TAGAATATTATACATGTGGTTCATCGAATGGTATATAAGAAAAGCTACTTAAGATAAATTTATGCAAATTTTTCCTATATGACAGAACCGGTATATTGATGATATTTTAACAATTTCTTATAAACAGAAAAATATTTTTTGACTTCCAGATCCCTTGAGGAGAACACGGAAAAATTTATTATTGTAACAAACATGAAATATTTATAGATTGTTTTAGAGTTTCATGTCAAGGTCAAATATGAATACTTGAAATAACAATTTGGAAAAGAAATAATAAAAATAATAGACCTATTTCCTACAGCTATATTTCTGTATCCGTGTCCAGGGGTCTTGGAGATCAAAAAACTTTTTCCTATTTATCAACGAATTATTTATATCAGTTCATCAAAAATGCTGTACTAATTTTCATGCTGATACACAATTGTTCTGTAGTATAGCGTTGAACACACACTCGAATATCAAGTCGTCAAGAAGAAATAATCTAGATCTAAGAAAAGAGATCATTTTAAGTATGATGAAACTATTGATTATAGAAAATAAGCTATTCAATGCACTGTAAATTGCTCTACAAAATCACATATATGATATCCTGATTAAAGATAGGTCATCGAATCTAGCAAGATTTTTTTCTAGAAATTTAATTTTTTTTGCTTTTAAATATTAGGGTTGGGGTATTAAACATATAACATTTGTTGATAATAGTCGTATATCATATTCAAATCCAGTTCGACAAACATTATTTACTTTCCAAGATTCATGTGAAAATAAACCAAAAGCACAAGCAGCAGCTGATGCTTTAAAAATAATCTATCCAGGAATTGTAAGATTAAAAATAAATGACGAAAAAATTTAGATCTATTTTATTTTAATGTTTTTTTTTTTTTTTTTATAAGAAATCAACTGGATATGATTTAACAATTCCAATGCCTGGCCATACTGTTGGTGGTAAATAAATATATTATGTATTAAAATTAAAGTTTTTTAATTGATTTTTTTTGAAAAAAAAAAAAAAGATTCAACTATGGAAAAAGTTAAAGAAGATGTGAATTTATTACATGATTTAATTCGTCAACATGATGTTATTTTTTTATTAACTGATTCAAGAGAATCACGTTGGTTACCAACAGTTATTGGTGCTGTTGAACAAAAAGTTTGTTTTTATTTAATAATTCTATTTCAATAATAAGAAAATTTTTATTTGTTTTTTTAAGATTGTTCTATGTTGTGCTGTTGGTTTTGATTCATATGTAATTATTCGTCATGGTATTCCAACAAAAGACTTAGATTCATCATCATCATCATCAACAACAACATATAAAAATTTTTTACCAGGTCATAAACTTGGTTGTTATTTTTGTAATGATATTGTTGCACCCGGTGATGTATGTATATGAAATAATCCTTTCTTTTTTTTTATTAAATTTCTTTTTTAGAGTTCTATTGATCGTACACTTGATCAACAATGTACAGTAACTAGACCAGGTATTTCAATGATGGCAAGTGCATTATCTGTTGAATTACTTGTTTCTATTATACAACATCCTCTTCGGTAAGAATTATTCGATTGATTAATCTTTTTTTTTTTCTCATAATTAGTTACATGATAGAACCTATTACAAACTTTAAATTAATTATAGGATAAAAATTTTGACAGGCGATATTTCGATTTATTTTACAAAATACGATTCAATTGAAGTAGAAAATTTAAAACTTTTCCTTCTACAGTCGTTGTTCATATACAATCAATAGTGTCTCAATATAGAATGTTGCAAAAAAAATTGTGATTAACTTTTGAACAATGAAAACGTTATCCATGAGTTTAGTGTAATTTTATTTCACATAAATTTGTTTGCATCCTCTAACGAAGGTTTTGCATAGAAGATTCTGTTAAAGAATTTTATTCTTCATAATGATGCCAAATAAGATAACCATAGAGTTCAATAATCGACGAAATCTTATTTTTGTTGAACTTTTTAATTAAGTTCTACCATAATTCAATATCGCAACTAGCCAGATATACTTTCACTATCGACATGAATTTCAGCAATTTGTTCTTGTTTCATTACTATGACACGTTCAGACTATGTGCTCTCTCTCTCTCAAATTACAAAACCTATTTTTATTGACCTATCGATACGGATTAACATGCTATTTAATTCAAAAAAAACAAAATATAACACAACATGATGTATGAAAAGGTCGACAAGTTATCATTGAAAATCGTATTTTTATCTATGCATCGTTTGTATTTTCAAAATGTACTGAATTCGATACGATCAATCTATCACATTGCAAAATATGATTATTATTTTTTTGATTTGCAAACAATCTATTCACTTTTTTTTTGCTTATCAAAAAAAAATATATATATTTTCTCTGCTGGAAATCAACAAGAAATAATTATATGGTTACATGCATTTAAAAATGACTTTGCATTTCCAATTATATTTAAATTTGTTGAAATATAATCATATGAAAATTATATTGAAATTGTTTTCTAAGATCGATCTACAATCTGAAGGCAAACACTTCCCTGGACAAAGATTTTATCTATCAACATGACATCACATACAGAATCATTAGCATAATGTAAATAGATTTTCATGCTTTCTATAAATAATCATAGATGACTATCAAATAGCCTTGATCTCAATGTTTTGAATTTGTTATATATAGGATACTATCATTAATAATAGACAATAGGATAAAATTACAAAAACTATGATTCTTTAATTGATAAAATAAGAAAAGAAATTTGTAATGTACGTAAAAAAATGATCTCGTATAAATTTTGATTCTTTTTGAAAATTAAGAATGCATAGATAAAATAAGATTTTTACTTTTTAATTGTAGTCGAGCATTTTAAATATCAATCATTCGTTATATCTAATCAAATAATTTTATTGTATATTTAATTTAATTAATAAATATTTTTTCTTTTCTTATGGACTATATAATAAATAAAAGATTGATTTTAATTTTTGTAGTGGTCAATGTCCAGCATCAATTCATGCTGATCATGAAGAATCAATTCCAGAAACAGTTTCATGTCTTGGTATTGTTCCACATACAATACGTAGTTTTCTTAGTCGATATTCTACTGTATTACCAACTGGTGAAGCATTTTCACAATGTGTTGCTTGTTCATCTATAGTAAAATTAGAAATTTAATATTTTGATTAGTTTTATTTTAATAATGAAAATATTTTCTTTTTAGGTACGTAAAGCTTTTGAAGATGATGGTTTTTCATTTTTATTGCAAGTTTTCAATGATTTAAATTATTTGGAAAATTTAACTGGTCTACGTGCAATGCAATTAGCAACTGATCTTAATGATGTATATTAAAAATTAAAAAATAATTTATCTTTTTTTAATATTTTTTTATTTAATTTTAGATAATTGAATTGAGTGATGATGAAGAGATTTAATTGTTGATGATTATTCATGCATTTTTCTTTTTCTGATTTAGTTTTTTTCTTTTTTTCTTTTATTGATATGATTTTATATGACAGAGATAATAAGAAAAAAAAATGATAATTCAATGTTGTTTTAATTAAAAATTAGATCATTCTTGATTATGAATCAAAAAAAATAAATAAGCTTAAAAGATAAAAAAGCTTAATAAAGAAGTGCTTTGTATCTATGAATTTTATTCATTTTATATGATGAACACATTCAATTGATGGAAAGTATAATTTTGTCAATAAAGTATTAGTAAAATATCTTAATAGGATTGAAGTAAAGTCGCAGTTTCTTTCATAAATAATTTTGTTTTATTATATTGAGAAAAAATTGCGTTATAAGAATATTTACTAGACCATTTTGTAAGTTTAGTAGTCATTAGTAGTATTTGTTTTAGAATAGTTATAAGAATAAAAAGATAATAATATTTTCAAGAGAAGATTTTATTAAATTATTATATTTTTAAGATATATTATTAAAAGTTTGTCGAATTATTTATTTATGATCTAACAAATTTCTTCTTGAAAATTTTTTTTTTTTGTATAAATATTAATGATAATAACTTTATAAGTTTAATATTAATCAAGAAAAAGGATTTATTAATTTCGGAAATAATTTCTAAATTAAATTCATATAAAATAAATGACAATGTTATCCTCTTTTTCGATTGAATTAACAAATCACTCGTGTGAACTGACTTGATCAAACTAACATTCAATAGAATATATTATATGAAAATAAAGAAAATAGCAAGTTAATGAAAATGTCTCCTTGATTATTAAGTACTCAGGCACAAAAAAAAAGAAGAATGACTGTCATAACTTTAAGTGAAGAACGGAAATTATCTTTCACTTTTCTTTTACTTAATTCACACTTGTCAGGAGACTATTTAATTGCATTTATTAAACAGTTTTTATCGTATTCATTATTAATCATAGAAGAAGAAGAAGAAAAAAAAGTGATTTCTATCTTTCAATCGTTTCTTTATCTTCTTTGTATTTTGTTCTTTTTTTTTCAAAGACAATCTAATTAATGAAAAAAAACCTTTTTTTTTTTTGGATCACGACACAATCATATTGATAAACAAATGAACATAAATGAAGAATTATAGGCGGGGAAAAAAAATAAAGAGAATAGAAGGAAAAAAAAGTTTCTTGTTTTTTTTTTGTTGTTTTTAGTTGCAAATGTATATGACAAGCAAAACGAAAAAGAAGAAACAACACCAATAATCAACCAACAGTGAAACCAAAAAAAAAAAGACGGGAACGCCGTTCTCAAAAGAAGACATGTATAAGGAGATAATAAATCTATATACAGACACATTGTTCTGTTTGTTTACAAAACGATGCAAACTAGGCTATGTTATAATAGATAGATAAACTGTAATGAAAAAGACACAAAAAAAAAAAAAAAAAAGAAAGAAGGAAACTATGTTTGTCATATTATTAGTTCTTCTTTGATTCCATCATAGGCAGTTGTTATCACCTGAGAGAAAGAATAAATTGATAGAAAAAAGTTTTATTCACATTTTTTTCTATTAAAGCTTTGACGTTTCATTGGAATCATCTCGACTACGCAATCGTCGACCAGTACTTATTTCTGATGCTGTTCGAGCTTTAATAGGTGCATCTATATTTTCTGTTTCTTCGAGATCAGGTGGACCTAATTCAGAACGAACTAGATGATTAACAACACCAGCTCCAATACCATCACCTAATATATTAACTGATGTTCGAATACGATCTCTGAAATAATAAAAATTACCGAAAAGAAAATAAATATCTTTTACTTACAAAGCCCAATCAATAGCAAAAATAATTGTAATTTCTTTTGCAGGTATATTCACAGCTGACATAACTAAAAGCATTGTAACAAGACCTGCCGATGGAATTGATGCAGCTCCAACGGAAGCTACTGTTGCTGTTAAACTATTCAGAAAGAATTTTATAATATTAATATTTTTATTGTTCTATATATATATATATATTACTTACCTAACAATAATTAATTGACCAATACCTAATTGTCTTCCCATAAGTTGTGCAAGAAAAACAGGAGCAACAGCTTCATATAAAGCCGTACCATCTAAATTATTTCTAATGTTTTTTCCACTATATATTTTTATTTAAAAATTTTCTTACCCATATTAACCGTAGCTCCAATTGGTAATACAAATCGTGTTACACGTCTATCTAATTTTAATGTTTCTTCCAAACATCGAAATGTTACAGGTAATGATGCAGCACTAATGAATTTTTTTTTTAAATTAATGTAAAAACCACAAAACAATAATATCTTACCTTGAACCTGTACCAATACCTGTTAACCAAGCTTGAAGCATACCTCGATAAAATGCAAATGGATTTTGACGTGTTACAGCATAAAATATTAGTGGTAATGTAATTAATGCATGTATAGCTAAACCAAGTAAAACAGTTAATGCATACATTCCTAAACTTCGAGCTAATTGAAGCAAATCTTCAATTTCTAAAATTTTTCCTGCAACTAAAAACATAATACCAACTGGTGAATACCTAAATAAATAAATCAATCATAATTTAAAAAAAAATAATATTATTATTAATTACATACCACATGACAAGTTTAACTAATTTCATGACAATTTCATTTAATATAATAAAAAAATGTAACATTAATTCGCCTCTTTTACCCATTGTTCCAATTGTAATACCAAATGCACAACAAAATGTAATTAAACCTATTTATATATTAAATGAAAATATTTTTATAAAAAAAAAAAAAAAAAAAAACGAAATTTCCTAACCCAAATAATTCGTTCCAGCAACATAACGTGTATTAAATTTAACTTTCGTTATACTCGTATTTGTTTTAATATTCGAAACATTTAGATATTCTAAGAAATCCAAAAAAAAAAAATTAACAAGATAAATAAACCTAAATTTCAATCGAACCTCTTGTTGTTTTAACTTGTTCAAGTGCTGCTTGTATTATATTTTCAGCAAACATATTACTATAAAGAAAATTTTTCGTTTTTTTTTTATAATTACGAAATTTTTTTTCTACCGAAATAAATCAAATATAGCATCAAGTGTTGTAATTTGATCAGCTGCTGGATCACCACGGATTATATCTGATTTAACTTCAACTTTACTTGCTCGTTCACCTGGTCGAATAACTTGTACCAATATAATACCAAGTATAGCAGCAAGTATTGTAGTACAAAAGTAATATGTTAAGGCATATAAACCTAATTTACCACTCGATTTTGGATCAAGTACAGCTAAACCTATTTTTTTTTATAATAGAAAATGATATTGAATAAAAGATTTTCTTTTTTTTTTTCTAATGATATACCAGTTATAAGACTGGATGTAATAAGAGGTAGAATAAGCATTTTCAGCATACGCATAAGAATATCACCGGGAAACGAAAGAATCATAATCGTTTCGGTGGATGGATTTGACGTACGAACAAGAAATCCAAGTAAGAAACCCAAAAAAACACCGGCAATGGTCAATGTAAGAAGTAAATTATTACGTAAAGGACCAAGAAAACTTGAACAACACTAATAAGAATTATAAAAAAAAAAAAAAATTTTATTTTATTTTATTTTATTTTTTGCTATATTACTTTTGATAATCGTGATTGATTATCATCAATTCTTGTTCGTGGTGGATGATTTTCATCATTGAGCATTGCCATAGTTTGATCATGTTTTTCATCCATATTTAAAACTAATTTTAAAAAAAAAAAACAAGAATAAATTATCTATACTATAGTTAATAAATTTTACCTATTCTAATTTCTTCTCTGTCAAACGGTAAAAATGAGTGATCCTTTTCTTTTTTTTTCTTTTATTCAAAAAATAACAATATTGATATCAACTGTCAGCTTATACGTTTATATAATATCTGATAGTATTCGTAAGTATAGTTCGATCTCTCGTTCTTTTTAATGCATTCGTATTCATTTTTCAACTGCCTGTAAGTATATGTAATAACTATGCAAAAAAAAAAAAAAAAAAAAAAAAAAAAAAAAAAAAAAAAAAAAAAAACAATAAAGAGAGCAAATCAGAACAAAAGTGAGAAAGAAAAAGAAACGGAAGCATAAACGAGAATAAGCGAAAAAGAAAAAAGAAAAAGAGAAGAGAGAAAGAATTGCATTTTTTTTACTATTAAAAAAAAAAATATATATGAATAGTGTTGGTGAATTTCTTCTCTTATCGTTATCTTATCGGAATACTTTTTTTTCGTCAAAAATGATAGATAATATTGCTCTAATATATTATATTTTCAGCATCAGTCCTTCTTCTTTTTTTTTTTTCTTCTTCTAACATACGGACACATACATTGAAACAATATGGAATCTAATAATGTTATAGAATAGTTTGCTAAAATAAATAAATAAGAAAAGAAAAAGTAATACATGTTAAATGCACACAAAACACCATCATTTATCTGATATTTAAGTGACAAACATACTTAATTGCTTTGCATATACCCGTCGAAAATACAATTTTGAGCTCTCAATGACATTTTTTGTAACAGAGTGTTACTAATGAAAATGGCAAAAGAATAGAGATTTGCATTCTACTTTCATAGAGCTTGTCGATGATATAAGAACAAACAACTGTTAATTCTCGAACAGGAAATTCCACTTATAGTATTCGACACATTATCTCTTAAATTCTTGAAATCTATGAAAATATAAAGAACAAATTCATATACTTAAACAGAAACCTTATGTATTTTTAAATGAAATACTTTTTAAAAAAAGAAATTATGCGAGAAATTAGAAAATAATTGATACTAAGAGTAATGTTTTTATCACTACGGAACTTCGTAATATATTTTTTTTTCTCTGTCTTATGCTCTTTGTATTCCTGTCAAACTTATGATGATTATCGAAACTATAGCATCCTTTTTCTTTTCTTTTTTTTTTACTAACCCCATGTCCTCGATTGATATTTACTCAACACACAATGCACATCAATAGTATAATCAATTCAACATATATATCTGATGTAATGCCTAGCCGTACTAATTTCTTATTCATTAATTCTATTGGATCGTTCATATGATCCATCGAGCAAAAAAGAATATTAATAAAATGACAACCTATTTTCAATAGCCGTATGATCGAGAAATGACATATTTAATGAGACTACCATAATGTAATATAAATACGGAAATAAATTATGCTAATGTTCTCTTTCAGGTATTTTTATATGTAGACTATGTAATATTTCTCAATGCTTATTTCTTTTACTTTAAATAAATTTAACAAAGAAAAAAAAACCGAGTCAATCATTCATAGTTTAAATTATGATATCAATCGTTTCTTTTTTGTTTATGATGTTTATAATAATGATAAAAAACAAATAAATAATAATCGATGGTCATTATCATCTAATTAACAATACATATTTGTTCTATTTATTTATCTATATATATCTATTTTTATATATGAGTATTACTCTCTCTGTTTGCAGCTGATAAAAGCTAAAGGATAATAAAAAACACTAGATGGAATCCATACTGCGTCTAAAGACAAAACACCAAACGACTCCCTTTTTTTTTTTTGTTGTGTTTTTACTAAGTGAACTACATTTATACGTCAATATGTAATTTGCTTGATAAAGAAAACTGATAATAATGTTGTTCTGGAAAGGTTACTATGTCGAAAAATGGTTACGAATATTATTCAATGTTCGTTAGTGTCTAACAGAATCTTTCACACGAGACTTACCTCACTTGTTGATTGTGATTTTTCTTCAAAAATTCTTTTTTTTGTTTTTTTTGCTCTCTCAATTTATGTCACACAAAGTAGATTTAATTGTTAATTACCTAAAAAACATGTATGATACACAGATTCAAGAAAAAAAAACAAAAAGAAAAAGAAATAGAAGATTAAAGGTTGCATCAAAGATAAATTTATTGTGTATCTGTATGTGTCTCTCATGTCAAGATTTATGATTTATATAGATAATATGAAGATAACTCACAGAAAAACAGTTGCTACTAAGAAGAAGTGACGATACTTCTATTCTCGATTGTACTTGTATATATCGAAGACCTTGACGGTGATATTTAATCTCACTGTTGATGTTATTGTGTATTCTCTCTATTTATCGTTAGTGCGATACAAGAAAAAAAAAAATACTTACAATCGTTAATGCCTGTATGAGTATGGGTACTGTTGCGAACTTGTACTTTCTTCCTTGGCAATCATAAAGCAAAAGAAAGAAAGAAAAAAAAAAAAAGGAAAGAAGCCAGATCAGTAGAGAGAGACAGAGAAGATATATGAAAAAGGGAATGCTACAAGAAATAAGTAAGATGAAACAGCTGCTCATCAAGTGGACCATACGGTTTCTACAAGATGTGTACATTGCCAATTCATTGAGTTTCTTTTCTTCTTCTTTTTTTTCTTCTCTCGTTCTCACGTATATTAAAAATGCCTATAGAAAACTCTAATTAATAAGTTTCATTTTAAATATTATTTTTTCATGAAAATAGAATCTATATTTGTCAATTTATTCTTGATGAACATGTGGTAACAATAGATTGTCAATAAATCGGGGGGAAAAAAAAAACTATTTAATACTAAAAAACATGTAAATATTAGAATAACCTATGAAATAGATAAATATTTTTATTTCATTATCTTAACCTGAGGGATATTATATTTTAATAGATTATTTTCTAACTGACAATATTAAATGATTGAGTCTTACTTTTAGAAAATATATAAATGTTAATCGATGCTTGATTTATTATATGACTTCTTATTCTAATAAATTCTATATTTCTCTTAGGATGGGTTGTTTTAGTTATTCTCTGAAGGACAATGATAAGAAGAAAAAAAAAACAAACCTGATTTCTATAAATGTTTTTATATGAATTGTGAGATAAAAATTCTCTACGTGTTTAATGATGTCTTCTTCACCTAGATTAATCTATTTCTTACTCATGAGTAATATGATACAATGCAGGTAGTACATACTAGCATATGACAAAGTTGATTAAATAGATGAAAATGATTGTCTACTATTCATTTGTAAAGTTTCAGGAAATGAATTACATTTATACATTTATTATTATGATTAAGAAAAAAAAAAAAACAGATGAAATATTTTTCAGGGCTTTAAACTATCTACATAAATCCATTCAAGTGCTCGACCTGGACTTAATAATTTACAATAATGAAAGCCAGCTACGGATGAAACAGGATAATTATTTGGAAATCGAAGTGTTGGTGAACGTACAGTTACAATTGTTTTGCCCTGACTATCTTTGCCAAGATCAAATTGCTTAAAAAAGAAAAAGAAAAATAACAGGCAGTTAATAAATCTTCTTTGATTTCATATATTCTTACCAATGGTGTCCAAATCCATAATGGACCAACATTAAGTGGACCAATATCATCTCCAATAATCATTTGTTTTCCTATTTGGTCATATCTATCTTTTGTTTTTTTTGCCGCATTTTTTAAAGCCCAATCAAGTGAATATTGATTAATTAAACCACATAAAGATTGTTCATCTGTTTGATTAAAATCATGTTGTTTACCATCAGCAGCTTGTAAAAGTACTTGTCTTGAAATCATTTTAACACGCATTTCTTCAGCTGATGAATGTGTTTCACCTGTATCAAATTGATCATTTAAATCATATATATTTTGTGTTACTGTATGAACATATAATATACAATTATTTAATGGTTTTATTAATGAACAATTATTATCTAAATGTGGAAAATATTCAGGTATTTTATAAACAATATGAAATTGATCAGAAATATTCAATTGAACTGTATCATTAAGACCACTCATTATTTTTTGTCCATATGTACTCCATTGACTACCTATTTGACAATTATCATTTGTTTTATTATAACATGGTGGTAAAAAATGATAATAACCTTCAAGATTTAATGCATTAAGATATGGTTGAGAAAATATTTTTGTTTGATTTAAATTATATTCAAGTATTGGAGTTATTGTTTGATTATTTAAACGCATATTCATATAATCATTTATTCGAATAGATAATTCTTGATGTGCAATTGTTTCATTAATTTCTGATTTTATATCATTTTTTAATATATGATCTGTTGGTTTACCTGATGCTGTATTCATATGATTCATACCTGTGATAATTAATGTAAAATGAGGATAAATTGAATAAAAATAAAATGATTCAATAATACGTGTTACACGTGCTAAACCATCAAGTTCACCAGATAATATTAATGTTGATACGGGATAAATTGTATTTGATGTTTGATATTTACGTTGAAGAAATGAACCAATAAGTATTTGTCCAAATATTTTATTTTTATATTTATATGCTAAAGATTGTGATGTAATACCACCTAAACTATGACCACCAAGAAATATTGTTGTATTTATTGACATTCCTAATTTATATAATTTTGTAAGAATTTCATCGATTACTTTTGGACGTAATATTTCAAGTGGAAAATCATCAGGAAAAGATGGAATAGCTATCCATAAAGAATTTGTTGATATTAATTGAACTTGTTTAAGTAAGGGAACATAACGATCAGGTGGTAATTCAGCACCGGGTATAAATATAAATGCAACATTATTATCACCGAGTTTTATTGGTTCAATAATAATATCAGATGAAGATGATATTAAATAGAATAGTTCGAAAATAAGAAGTAATTTTAACATGATAATTTAAAATAATCAAAAACAAAAAA